TATTTTCATTAATAAAATTATGCTCTTTAAGAATCAATTCACCTAAAGACTGTCCAAATTCTAAAGATTCATTTGAGGTTAAATTATATTTTCTTTTTTGTCTTAATTTTTCTGCTTTTTCAAGTTTTAAACAAATATTGATTATAAAAATGCTAGGAGGATTAATAGAAATTAAAGATGATTCAGAAAAATCTGAATGAATATTTTGCCAATAAACAGTTAATATATGTGATAATTTAGATAATAATTTTGATTTTAAATTTTTATCAGATGATGTTGTAACATCTAAAATCCAATTTTCTATCATTTGCAATCCTAAAGTATATTCATTTTTATGTTTTATATCACAACTTTCTCTTTTTTTTCCTTATTCAGGCGATATATAAGCATGTTTACCATTATTATTAATACAAGTCTGACATATATAACATGAGTAATTATAACCTTCTTTTAAACCTAATTTTTTACAAGCTATTGATTCGTGTGTATTTAAAATTTTGCAAATATATATTGTAAGACATAGTAACAAAATATCCTTTCTTATTACTCTTCAAGCATGTGTTTGGCAATTTGTTGCTCTAGTATAAACATAAAAGTAATAATACAAAAAAGACATCTTTTAGAAGAAATCATCATAAAAGATGGATCAATATTTTGCCTTAATCCTGATGGATGAAAATCTAATCTTTTATTTAAATTTATATGAAAATTACATACTCCAAGCCTTTCAATATTTCCATTAACCTCAACTACACAATTTGAATTTATTTCCCAATTTCCAATTAAATTTCAAAGTCTTGGTATGCTAGGTTTATTACAGTCTTCAATTTCTAATGTTATTGGATTTAAAAATGCTACAGAACAAATATTATGAAATCTTTTTTTTTATTTTCAGCTAAAATTTTAATTGTAGCGATTATTTTATCATCTTCTGTATTATTCACTTAAAATATAAATAAATATATATAAAATATAAATACAAATTATAATAAAAATATATACCTATTTCATAATTGGTGACATCTGTTTCTTCATAATCTCCTTTAAATGCTCTTCAAAATTAGAGTCACTTTCAATTGTACTATCCGATTCAATATCATGATGAGTAATAGGAGATAGTACCATTTCGGATCATCTAATATCATCAAAAAAAGCAAGAAATTCATTTTCAATATTTGTGTTCTCATTTGTTAATATTGGATTACTTTCATCAAAATTTAAATTAAGTTCATCATCAAGAATATCATTTATATTAATGTCAAATAAATTCGAATATGTAGAAGTACTTATATTCATGTTTTTTTGTATATTAAGAAATGTCACACAATCTACAGCACTTGAGGTAAAGAAATAAAAGAATAATATACAAGAAAAGAAAAATAAAAATAAAATTAAAGTAAAAATTAAAGAAAGTTTCTTAGTTCGTTCAGACTTATTATTTTTAACTAATTAAATATATCTAATAATTATTTTGAAGTCACATTTTGATATTCTTTAGTTACAACAAAAAACAGGTTTAAGTAAATTTTATTTTTTATTTTATAATTACCTATTATACAAGAATTTTCATATGAAAAGAACACTTTATCAGATAGTTCATTTATTAATTAAGTAAATTTAAAATTTCATAAGTCAGCTATTATCATACATATATTGTAATTACATTAATTTAGGCAAAATTATCAATCAAGTTAAATTAGGAAAAATTTTCATATGATTTGACCATTATCATACATACATTACGATTATCAAGTGTTAAAGTTTTAATAAGAAACAATCAGCAAATTTTGTATTACATTATAATTATTACTAAATTAATATACAATTTATATATAAAATGTTATTCCTAGTAAATTTTAGATTAAAGTTTGAATTTTAAGGTAATTATAATTTAAATGAATTTTTATGAATTTTCAAAACAAAACATTTGTTTTTAACTTATTATGCAATATATGTTGTACTAATAAAAAGAGAAGTTTAATTAGAAGCAAAAAATATTTTTCGTTAAATTTATATATAAATGCGAATAAATTGCCGATCATTTATTTACTAATTTAAATTTGCTAATATTGATCAGTAACATTTTCCTTGATTGTTAACTTTTTCTATAGTGAATTTTAATATAACAAATTTTACAATATAATGGATTTTTAGTATGATACAGATTTTTAAATATAGAAAAAAATCTTATTTTATCAAATTTAGTATACTAAAATTTGTATAATATTTAACAAATTAAAGTGTATAAACATGCATTATATAAATATCCTTTATATAATAATGCCTTAATTTATAATAAAGTTATTTTTAATATAATGAAGATTTACAAAACAAATTTTAATATAAAGATAAATTTTATATATTAAATTTTGTAATTTTTGTATTTTAATAAAGTTAACAAAAGTGTTTTGTATAATGTTTTGAAATTTTTAAATGTTTCTTTATTTTACATATTTCACAATTTTTTTTATATTTCTTTTTTTAACATAAGAATGCCAAAAATAAGCTTAAAGAAATAAAAGAAATCTGATAATAAACCTTTAAAAAAAAAGTTTCTTATTGCTGTATAAAAAAAAGAGATTTGTTTAAAAAAATTTTATATCTGTTATTAAAACAAAAAAAACTTAGCAAATGAATATAAAGTTAATAAGAGTATGGTTAGTGAAATTTTAAAAGAAAAGGATTGCTAGTTTATTATAAATACTGAATTATATAAAGCTGATTTGAAAAATGAAAAAAAAAATAAATTTTCCTTTTATTGAGAAAGTTTTAGTTTTTTAGATAGAAAATATGCTTCAAGCTGATCTCATTATAACTGATAGTATTCTTTTAATTAAGATTTTAGGATTTACTTTTTTGTTTAATAAAGATAAATTTAAAGGCTTTAATAAATAGGTAAACAATTTTAAGAAATAGTATAACTTAAGGTAATATAATATATATAATGAAAATGTAAATGTGCTACTTGATAATTTAACTACTAAAGAATTTGTTCAATATGATAAGTCTGAGATTACAGGAGAAATGATATTTGATGAAAAAATCGTAAAAGCAGTTTTACCTAATGAATAAGAATTCAATAATAAGAAAATGAAGAAAAAAAGGATCTTTTACCAACAATTACTTATAATAAGCTATTGAAGCTTATAATAAAGTAATTTTATATTTGAAATAATAGAAAAAAGTTTTTAATATAAACAAAAAAGAATCAAAGTTTATTAAAAAACTTAAAAAAGAATTTGAAATAGCAGCAAAATAAACTAATCTCAATAATTTTATTATTATACTTGAATAATAATAGCATTTTTTTTAATGTAATAATGTTAATAATAATTTAGGCTATTTTTTTAATATAATAATATTAATAATAATTTGTTTTTTAATGTAAAAATATGAATAATTTGGTTTTTTTATATAATAAATATAATGATATAATAAAATGGTGCTATAGATATACATGAAGTTGAAATAGATCATTTCGGATATCTGAAATGGTCAAAATGATCAAAATCATTTTATTTTTTATTTTTTTATGTTTTAACGATGCAGTACTGTCAGTACATTTTATTAATTTATACAAAAATACAATAATAGTAAAATCAAAAACTAACAAACAAATGACTAACTACTCCCGTAACTATATTGCAAATCCGTTTGAGTTGACTGAGCATTGCCACTCCTTCCAACAGATCCACTACACATATGCATAAGGATGAAAATAAACCATGATCAATACTACTTTGTTATCTTCTTTCTAAAGTAAATTCCCAAAAAACAAAAACAAAAATGTAACCTTTTAACTAATGGTGACATATTTTCTGAAGAAGTAACTATGAAATCCGATCATCTATGCTAAAGAATTTACAAAAAGAAGTAATATAAGAGGACTCTTCTAAGTTCCTAGCTAAGTTGTCCAGTCAATTCTAGATTACAGTGACCACCTGCCACAGGTGCGTCCATATCACTAAGTTCCAATAGAGGCTCTTAGGGCTATCGCTTCTAATGCTAAGATATCTATCAATTCAGATTACAGCCAACCCCCAGCACAGGATGAGGCCCAAATAATACAGTTGGTTAAGTCCAGAAAATACTGTGTGGGATTCCGCAGTTTTCGACTTCAGAGATCTGCAAAAAAAGAGTGTTGTCATTTATGAAGGAATAGGGATGTCATCACGCAGATTTGTGTATCTAAAGTATGTTGATCGTGATTGTCAGTTGGGATATCCCTTGATACCCATTTTTGTAGGCAATTATTTTTGAAAATTTAACAAAAAACAACACGGTTTAGACTTCAATGGCAATTTTTATGTGGATAGGGGTTAGAGAAACAAAAAGAGGAAAATTTTTGAAAAGAGGGTTTTTTATTTTATTCACAGGCTAAGCTATGGCCACCTTTGAACAGGCACTTTTATAAAGTAAAAATTCTTGGATAAAATCTGACGAGAGAAAAGAATTTTTTTTTGGTTGAAATCATTTTTTTTTTATATTTTAACGATGTGATACTGTCAGTACATTTTATTAATTTATACAAAATACAATAATAGTAAAATCAAAAACTAACAAACAAATGACTAACTACCTCCGTAACTATATTACAAATCCGTTTAAGTCAACTGAGCATCACCACCCCCTCCAATAGACCCACTACATGCATGCATAATGATTACTATTTTCAACAGAGGATGGAAATAAATCATAGTTAATACTACTTTGTTATTTCCTTTCTAAAGTAAATTTCTGAAAAACAAAAACAAAAATGTAACCCTTCAACTAATGGTGACATGTTTTCTGAAGAAGTAACTAAGAAACCCGATTATCTACGCTAAAGAATTTACAAAAAGAAGCAATATAAGAGAACTCTACTAAGTTTCTAGCTAAGTTGTCCAGTCAATTCCGGATTACAGTGACCACCCGGTACAGATGCGTCCATATCACTAAGTCCCAATAGAGGCTCTTTGGACTATCGCTTCTAATGCTAAGATGTCTATCAATTCAGATTACAGCCGACCCCCAGCACAGGATGAAGCCCAAATCACACAGTCGGTCAAGTCCAGAAAATACTGCGTGAGATTTTGCAGTCTTTGACGTCAGAGATCTGCAAAAAAAGAGTGTTGCCGTTTATGAAGGAATAGGAATGTCATCATGCAGATTTGTGTATCCAAAGTATGTTGATCATGATCGTTGGTTGGGATACCCTTTGATGCTCACTTTTGTAGGCAATTATTTTTGAAAATGAAAAAATGAGAAAAAATATACCGAAGAGAGGTAAAGAAAAAATATTTTAACAAAAAACAACACGGTTTAGAC